TTTCTATGGTAACGCATAGTCATCCACCGATAAGTGGGTTGTTTTGGGTCGTCTGACACCGTTAGTCAGTTGCCAGTCACGTCTCGGTCGGTCTAGCCGACATTGATCCAGGGTCTTGATCATTCATAGGAAGGGGTATATATCTCAAGAGACACCAATATACCCTCGGGTAATACAAGGGGCACACTAACGGAAGCTGACTGGGTGAATGTTTTAATTAATTCCGGACCAAACGACATTTGCATGTACATTTCCAGGCTGTTGCCATGGTGACGCTGCTGACGACGGTTGATGTCAGATATACTGAATATATGATTGATATAAAATACATAAACGATACTCAAGGCATAGCCGTACACAGAGTGAGAGTGATACTAGACTAACTTAAGAGTAAGGGACATAGTCATAATGACCGCATGAAGAAGTGAACGACCTGATGTAGCTCTTACATCGATTTGATATGTCAGGTGTAGTGTACCCTCATCTCTTGATTACATTTCAGTCTCCCACCAATTAATCAAGACTGTTAAGGACATGACATGCTGCAGTGTTCTGAACCTTTTATTAATCGTTTGTTTGAAGACATGGGAGAGAAGAACTTCCACTCACTCCCCTCCCCCCCCCCCTGCTCTCCCTATCTATGTCCCATCCCCTCCATCCCTCTCCCTTTCCCCTCTTCTTGTCTTTTGTGGGTACAGATTACATTTCATTTCAATATCCGAGAGAACAGCGGTTATTGCATCGCTCCTGGAGTAAGCACTCCGTATCCTACCACAACCACAGGAGTTATCCACCAGGTGGAGTTCTTGAAGCAACTTGGAAACACCGTATCAGCTCAATAATTGCCAAGATTATGTATTTTTCATCAGGTATAACGTGCTTCTCCCTGCTTGATCTATGTGTAACCACTGTCTGTATCCCATGAATCACACCTGTCTCTGTTCTGTTACATGGCAGAGCAACGAGAAAGGCCTCATGACATGTAGTCATCGAGGCAACATGGTCTCCAATCCAAAATAGACATTCGTCTCTACCATAAAAAGCATTAGGATTAAGCTCTGGCTTGAAGCGATTAATCATTTCACTTTGCTGGAAGTTCTACGGTGGTTCGTCATAACACCTGGGATTAAGTATTGTCATTTCTTTCAGGTGTCAAGGCACGGAACAACCCAGGGAGTTTCCAGACCTAAGGATGAACTGTAGCTTGACGCCTTCCCTTGTTCTATCCCAATATCCGCATCAAGGTACCTAAAGACATGCACAAGGCATTAAAAGACCACCCAGTAAACAAATACATTGTACATTCGAATATCATAAACAGATTGCATCGCCAGGTTGGCACTTCCGTTCCCCCTCCCAATGTATAATGTAACCCCTCCCTCGCCCTCGGCCAAGAACCGTGTCCTACGATCACCTGACCCTGCCTGATGACCAGAGGATGTTACTCACAGGGCGAGCGCGACGTCCGCAGGCCAAACTCCTCCCGAAATCCTGGACTTATCTTTCTCTTCAGCTACTGCTTAAAAAGCAAGACGACTTGACCGTGACAACACTGCTTGCATGAGGTATGGATGGGTGAAGTCGAGAAGTGACTATCGCTAGCTCACTCTTGAGATGTCATCAGCTCCTTCTAAGATTTCAAACTCTGCGTATCAGTTACGAAGATTTGTCATTCAAAGGGGATAGCCTTAAGTGACCTTTTGGTCATCATCTATCTTCGACGTGAACGGGAGTATTAAAAACGTAATGGCAGACATTGTATTGGCATGGGTACATGATGATATGATAAAGTTGCTATTTCATCGCCATAAGTCATTGTACCCCTCCTTATTTGTGGTCTACGACTTGTATAGAGTGTATTTTGTTTCAAAAGCAAACTCAGTCTCGAAGAACAAAAGCTGGATCTCATCCCATTTTCACATCGTCTCCCCAAGTTATTAATCATGAGACTGTCGGGACATCTTCTGTTTGTGTAAAATTTTTAAGGACGATAAACCACAAAATCCTTGCATTCAACACATAGGGGACATTCACTGCAGTGATAGCAAACAGGTTCAAATCTACATTGTGTCACAAAAATCACTAACTGCAAATGAATTAGCCAGAGAATTAATGACATGTACAGTTGTACGTACAGGGTGTACGCAATAAAAAAAGGCATGCATATACAATCCGCTCTCCGAATTCCTTGTTCTCCCTAAGCTCAATAGTAAGTAGAGGAGAAAACCTTTGTTTGTTTGTTAGTTTATTTTATTTATTCACGGTTAAAAACAAATACAAGTGCCCGCATTCAGCAAATGCTGTTTTTCAGCGAGGCCGTGGTTGGTCATGCAGGTCCTTCGCTGTCGAATACTCTCTCGAGAGAGAGATTCGTAATAGCAGATAAAGTGTTTACAAATATCTATATCTGTGTAGTTTGGTATATCAATCATTAATTGTTCGTTCGTTTTCATGTGTTCTATCTTATTCCTGTTCCTTTGTTTATAATGTAGAATCGTAGATACTTTTATATGTTGTGTGTTTTTTTTTCACAACTGCGCGTCGATCATCTGCTTTCAAGGGGATTCGGCGCCCTATAAATCTCATACGTAATTACGATTATCATTCTGTGAATTCTTATCCATTTCAAGGTTATTTTGCATCCATGCAGATCTGAAGTGGGACAGGTAGATCAACTACGTTAAATGCGATTTCCTACCCGTGTGGTTCGCGCTTGTATATAGTTCGACAGCTGAACTTGGAAAATTCACCTGCATACTGACAAAGGGACAGGACTCCACTGAACAAGAGGTGTTCATAACAACCTGCTAATTGAATTAGACTTTTCCTCCAAAGTCCAAACTGCGGTAAAGAAAATCAGATAATTAAGTCAGCACGCGTCCTGGATAACAACAAAGGTGGTACGAGGAAAGGAGTTGGCCAAACTTCAGGTCAACACTTAATTCATTTCACACTGATTGCATGAGATAAGGATCAATAACAAAAATGGTTCAGATCCAAAGTTCAATATCCTGATCACAAAAACAAAGAATTACTCACAGAAATTAGATGTAGACTATCTAAAAACGCATCAAGTGTTTTTTCCTGTTTTTTCCCCTTTCTTTCAGTTAGTCCTACGTATAATGTAGAGATCTATACAAAACACAAATAAAGCTTTACATGCCACGTGTATTTTACTTTGTTTAGGAATTACACTTGAAAATAACGATTATTTCCTTGTTTCCACTTCTTCAAAACTTACATTCTTTTCTTCCATCTCCGTCTCCTTTCCATTATTATTCCACTGTAAGCTGCAATTCATCCAATATTTCCCGGAAGGAAAATCGAACGACACCATAGAAACTTGGTCTTTAGAGATTTCAAGAACTTCTTTGGAGGTTTCAAATCCATTCAAGACTTAAAAACTTTGGTTATAAGCAAGTATTGGTTATGGTTTCTGGTTGTCGTGCCAATAGTTTGCAACCGAGTTTTCTTTTCATTGTTTTCTCATTTGACCCCTTCGCAGCTTTTTCTCAAGAGAAAGAAAATAATGATGCGCTAATATTTAGAGTCAAACATGGAGTTCAAGTTCACGATTTTCTGGCTTAATACGTCTAACTTGAACAATTTCTTTGACTAAACCTTTTATTCCGTCATTTATTAATTTTAAATGACCGCTGTATAAAACGGGGTAAAGGGTACATAAACGAGGAAATCTATCATAGAAATCATTTTCAAGAACGATCATTATATAGGCTATGATCAGTAGTGAATATGTGTGATGTCTTCTTGACACTACATAGTCATAGTAGATGCGTTACCATGGTACACATCATTACAAAGGGACAAGAGTGTGATATTTCAGGTTGAAATTATACCCCTGTGGGTGAAAACATGTTTTAACTAGGTCATTGCCATTTGAGAAGTTCTTTTCTAAAAAGCAATCATGCTCCGGTGGCATTAGTGCAACAGAGTCCCGTTGGGAGGAGAACCAGGGAGAACATACCAAGAATTCTAGAACATGAAGGGGGAAAAGGTGAGGGTAGGAGTTCAGCGAGGTCGCGTTATTTGATGCTAAGTATCACCGAGTGGTTGACAGAAAGAAAGTCAAATGTTTGTTGTGAAACTGACAGGAATAAGTTTATGCTCGAAACTCGTCTATGGTGAGAATTCTCTCAGTACACACCACACCAGGGGGGTGTTTCACAAAGATTCGAAGTCAAACTTAACTCTAAGTTGGACTTAAATATTATGGAGAGCCATTTGTAGCCTTATTTTAAAATATATTCAAAAGCAAAAATTCAAGTATTTAGACTTTTCATAAATTTCACATCAAGAACATTAAATCTCCCATGATAATAGAAAATATGAATGATTGAATCGACATTTTATGCCTTTTAAAATAACTTTTACAAAATATTTTCAAAGATGCTAACGGCTTTCCATAACTTTTAAGTCCACTTTAGAGATGGGTTCAACATAGGATCTCTGTGAAACACCCACCAGGTCTCTCGACGAAAGAGAAGTTTTGATTAATCCATGGCGGCTTCGATGATGCGCAAACATGTTTTGTCTTCATTGCATTTAGTTTCAACAAATAAGTATTGATAAATTCAACCACACTCATAATTGTGACTTCCTGTTTGTATTGGTTCTAAAAGTGCAAGGATACAAAAGACGGCATTCTTGTATTTATATCGATATTTTCCACTTATGCCCTCTATTATTTGATGTGAATCACCCGAATAAAAGATCAAGTCTCCCACAGAGTTTGCAACAAAATAGAATACATCCATCAATTGGTGACATTTTATATATACGGTTGCACAACGCACAATCAATGGGATTTCTATGGATTCGCAATATCTATGGATGCTACCTGGTTAACTTGTGAGCGCACCATTTTCTAAGGCCATAACTTTCGTCATATTATGACAATTCTATTTCATGTGTACGTACTAAAACGTAAGAACTATTAAATAATATGGAAGCTCAATAATTATCTATTACAATTGCGGGTAATATTTCCTATTTCCTATGTTTCATAGAGGAGGAGTAGGAACATTTTATACGGCTATTATTTGTGAGATGAGCAGAGGGTTACGATCAGCATACTCCACTTGAATCAAACTAGAATACCAAGAATTTGGATTCTATATTAATGTACCCTCAACTATCCGACTACATGGTACCAATCATTCATCAAATACAAGTTGATTTAGTGGAAACATTAAAACAATTACCACATCTGCCTAAAGAACCTCTTAGTCTTTAACTATATGCACATAAACTTCTCAATGAATGATTCCAAGAACATATTAATTTATGATGATTTGAATGTACTCTACTCACCAGTTCATCCAAGGTCTTGAGGACTTCATCATTGAGCATGATCTGTTTTGGTGGGTCACCTCCATCTTCCTGAGGTTCCTGTTGGTTATGATGTTTCGAAGACACCCGCCTGCTCCTTGGTTTCGTCTTCGGGATGAGAGACCCCCTCCTCTGGGGTGACGGTTCAGGTGACGAGGTACATTCCATTGGTCGTCCTTCGGAATCGGCCTCGGACTCTGGTTCGGCATCGGTCGTGGTTTCCGAGCTCGGTGATGCAGGTTCCGTCGATGTGAAGGAGTCCGGCTCCGATGGCGTACCGGCTTCGAGCTCCCGATCGATCTCCTGTTCGAGTTGTACGAGCATCGGGACAGGCATGCCGATAGGACCACCACGACGAGCCACCTCCAGGAGACACAGGATAAAGCTCTTGTCATTCTTCCTCAGGACAAGATCATCCGATTCGAATAAGAGTACTTCATTAATCCTCAAGGAATGTCGACACCAATGGATGAAGTTACTGATGTTGTCCCTTGCTAGAAACGTCCCCGCTTTGGCATCTAGCTTATATCGTAGATCGTCGTGCTTGACGAAGATTCCTTGAACGAACTCGACATCGTCATTGTCGGGATAGTTCCTCAATCTGTAGTCGATGGCCTCACGACGGACTTTGTTGGCATGCTGGCAGAGAAGAGCACCATTTTCTAATCTGTCAAAGAAAGACTCTGGTAGGATCTCCAGGTCGTACATGTTACTGAGCCATTCGGCCAGGTCCTCTCGCATCGCGTAGAGGTATTCATCTTTAGTTCGGAAAGGCTTGAGGGATGCGCCTTCCCAGGTTGAGCTGTACCGGTCATCGTACGGGTTGTCGAACCGGGCACGCTCGTCGTGCAATGTTTGTAAACCGTCCATGGCTACCATCGAGAATTCGATTTACATTCATCGATCACTGGAAACAAATATCATTTTCCTGAACCTTGCCGCAACCGATGACAATGTTTTCCACCCGAGAATTCCTAAACTGATGCGCGATGTAACTGCAGCAGATGTCAGTTCTTCGAGGTTATTTTCCTTCGTGTGAGAAAGTTGGATTGTATATTCCCGGTTTCGGTCTTACTCACACTCCGTGTGCTGAAAACATAACCATATATCTCCAAGAACTGAAGAAGGTCGAGAAAATTCAGACACGAAAACACCAAACGTGACAAAGTTTGCTCTGCTAAAGTCCAAAGAACACAATTATGACCATGAACGTCAGTCTGATCAATTCACAGGCTAGTCGTGTGTGTTTAACCTTGTTCTTCTCTCGGTCGACATACATACACGTGTTGGCAAAATACCATTTATATTCACGTCGATCTGCACGCAAAGATGGTTTAATCAATAACTCCCAGTTCGTTAGATGAAATTCACGTACAGCGCAAACAATCGCGAATAAATTTCAAAACTTTCCAGTGAAGAAAAACACAACCTTGTCCAAGTTTATAACTTTGTTGATGCTTTAATGCGGTGCAAAACAGCATGGGTGTTGAGGTTTGCTGGCTTGAAATACTACTGCTGAAGGTTTACTTCCAGTTATCGCTGTGAATGATTTCAGAAAACACACAAAAGACCCAAAACACAAAAGCGAGCTGCCCACAAATATGCGAGATTTATCTCCGTTTGTGACTGGATAAAGATTGGAAGCTTTTGTTGGTAACACGCAAGAGCGATCACTTGTTACCGATTGAGTGGGCACCCTTCCAGAAGGACTTGCAAAGAACACTGTCAATAAAAACAGTGTCGGGTGCGTGCGCTGCTGTAATTAAAAAAAGAGAAGCTTAACAAGTGATTAGATCAGTTTCAAAAGGACCTAAGGTTTTAATAAAAGCTGCCAATTGGTTGTTGAATATATTCCAAATAACAATAAAGTAGCTGTCCCCTTCGTCAAAGAAATCCAGCTCAGAAGTCACGACCGTACGCTCCGAGGCTCGACGCTTGAATGAGTGCGAGAGGGGTTGAACTTGGGACTCCTCTGTTGTCACGGAGGGGTACAGCGTGGGGCGGAGCTAAAGACGCCAAGTTGGTTGCCAAGGTGATGCCCTACTTTTCTTTAAAAACTTCAAATAATCCGTGAAGCGATCTCTTCGGTGGATAAAAGGGTATTACTGGTCGTACCTGGGGGTGAGAAAAACCAAATGAAAAATGAGATATTGGGAATTATACATTTTTAAGAAGAAAACAACTGAAAGGAGGCATTTAAACCAGGACATTTAAGATGTAAATAATGCAAATTAAAGAAGTAATTGTTATGTTTTACACGAGTAATCAATATACGGTAAACGAAACGGAGACAGCTTTTGAAAATCTGAAACAAATGCACTTTTATTAATGACATTCCTATCATTGTAAATGAAATTTAACGAAAATAAACTTAATCGTCAAACATTAGAAACATTACATGCTCAGACAGGTTGAGCTGACCACAAGCTTATTTGAATTTTCGGCAAATCCCTACTCGGGGCGGATAATATATCAATTTAATCTATTTCATGAAATATACATTACAGGGGCTCGAAAATGGTGGGGAAAGTTATTTGGGGTGCGGTTGTTTTTCTGTCTAACAATGCACATGAAGATTATAAACATGATGTTCGATATAGCTGTTTGCCCCATGGAGATAAACAGACGATCAAATGCTATGGATTAACCTAACGAATAACATAACAGATTTATTCGCGATCGTTTTTTATTACAATAAAAAGCAGAGTATTAAGAGCCGATTATGTGACTTATTGGAATAAGTTTTTCAATTGAAAACATATTCTAATAGGAGTGCCTTTTTATACTGTATTAATCGCAATAAAATTTCTTATTTTCTGCTTGAGTTACTTTTCTCCTTTGTTTTCGTGCAATGTGTTTCAAAAGTATCAGTTCAAAAGTAATTACACTTTTGATTTGTATCAATTCTATTTAATCAAAAAAGAGTTTTTAGTCCTTACTCGGCCAGATGCATTGAAGTATTAAGGGCAATGCACTGACCAAGACCAAGTGACCAAATACAAGGGGACTTGTAGAATACGTTTCGGTTGCAATAACCACAAAAGAGAGGTGGGTGTCTATGCTTCTAAAGGTGATTAAAGGACTCTTATTACCTTCAATGCACTAGCAGACTAACGGTCTAAACGACAGTGGTGGAGTTAAACCCTCGTATAATCTCTAAATTGGTGACGATATGCGACTCAATGCCCCCTTTAAAGGGTAATGAATTCAGATGGGTACTTCCAGCAGTCGATGTTCATTCTTCGCAATTAACCTGAAGGTAGGGAGTACCGCTAATGGACTCCTTAAAGAGGCACTTAAGAAATTAATCAAGAGAAACTTTCAATGGCTTTCCATCCGAGCATGCCGAAAAAATAGAGATCATTCTCATATTAATATCCCCATTTTAAACAGCACATTTCTTTGTATCATATGACACAAAATGCATCTGAAGGGATGGTTGAAAACTTGATATTGTACTCAATATTCCCCAAAGCATCAAGACTTGGCATAATTCACTATAAATTTATATTTAAGACAAATAATGGGGTTGGTCACTCAATTCTCACGACTTGTTTCTATAAACGAAATAAACATTGACTTAATGAATGTGGAATAATTTATAGATGATGTTTTTGCATCAAGTTTAAGGATCATTTTTTGGTACGTTCTAAACAAAAAAAAGTATGATGCACAACTATAATTGTGAAGAAAAATTGAGTATCCTTTCAAGGAACCACAATCAGATATTGACCTGGGAAGAACTCAATTGGTAAAGCTTTGAAATTAATTGAAATTTGACCTTCTGTTTATTGATGAAGATTGTAATATAGACTGACCACTGGCCGATATACATGGATAATATTGATTGATTAGCATGATTAAAAGCATATCTACTGGAAGTATAGGGCACGATGATCAGCTGGCAAACGAAGCCGAAGATGAAGGAGAGGGAAGAAGAGAAAAAGAAGAAGAAGATAATGATGAAGAAGAAGAAGTGGAAGGGGAGAAGAAGAAGAAGAAGAAGAAGAAGAAGAAGAAGAAGAGAAGAAGAAGAAGAGAAGAAGAAGAAGAAGAAGAAGAAGAAGAAGAAGAAGAAAAGAAGAAGAAGAAGAAGAAGAAGAGAAGAAGAAGAAGAAGAAGAAGAAGAAGAGAGAAGAAGAAGAAGAAGAAGAAGAAGAAGAAGAGAAGAAGAAGAAGAAGAAGAAGAAGAAAAAAAAAAGAAGAAGAAGAAGAAGAAGAAGAAGAAGAAGAAGGAGAAGAAGCTGGAATATGAGAGAGGGAAAATGTAAACATGGGGGGGGGATCTTGCCAGGAGAAAGACAAGAGGAAAGTGTTTGGGGAATTAGAAGCTGAAGTGGGTAAGACAGGAGTGGAAGAGGAGAGACGGGGAGAGACGGGAGAGAGAGAGAGAGAGAGAGAGTAGTGGACTTACATGTATTATAGAGAGTGTAAGTAAGAAATTACTCTCCCTATTATCAGATTGCAAAAGCCTAAAGATAAAGAAATAGGCTCCAGTATTACCACCACCATTCAGACATCTATGGTTAGCTACTATACTCTCCTTAATTTGGATTTGGAAGTTAACTCCAAATATTAATTGGTATCACTTAGTAGAAAAATAGCTGAGATACGGTCAGCAGGAACATGCCCTACAGCGCATTGTACGAACAATTTTTTCATTTCCAGCTGGGGCAATGCCCAAATATAACGATTTATATTATTCCTTGCCAATTAATACCTGCATGAAAATTATAACGAAGGCAGTCAACATGGATACACGCTGTGTTGTTTAATTCAATGATTTGCTTGTTCCTGGGTTTATGAAAGAAATTTTGAAAAAAAATAATACTAAAAACAAACACAATGAAATGAGTACTAACGACATAGGCCTATTACTTTTGCAGTAGAGTCTACTCTATCAGTCTATGTCTAAGTTACTCATTCGGTTCATGTAAGAGAAAAGTAAATTACCATGGGCACGATATATTTGACTATTGTATGACCAATCTATTTGGTATAACACACTTATAGGTCCAACAACATAATATGGATGTACACATACTATACTGTGACTAGCTTAGAATCTAGACAAGACCGACATAGTCCAAAGCCAAAATTAAAATGTGTGCCTCCATTCGATTCAAGATTAATTTAATGAGTCATTAATTTATTAGATAACTTCAAATTCGCTATGATGGTATAAGTATGAAAACACAGCTAACCCCGATAACACCATACTGCATGTTAACGACTTGATATCACCCTTTAAATCGCAATCTTACCCTTTAAATCGTAATTCCATTGAGATCCAGTCATACGGCAGACAGGTATTTCCTTGTACAAGGCAGCTGCGTGCGACCTCGGGGTCACGCCGGCCGGTTAGACTGTCAGCGACTGTCTACATACAGCCGAGTTTCCCATAGCAAAACTACCAAGTTATTCCCACGTCTCCTGAATTGGGTTGTATATGTGTCTCCAATAAAACTAAAAGGATGCAGTCTGTCTGTAATCCAAATACAACGCTGGCGAAGTTTAGAAGATTAGTAGATACATCCAGAATGAGCCAGGTCCGGTCGTTCAGATGGGACCTTTGGGGGATATTCCCCAAAGCGTGAAAGATCGAGAGTTGACCATATGATCATGCTATGATGTTATGCTGAATGTCCGAACTAATCACTGCACTGCAGCATCTACGGCTAGCTAGCTGACCACCGGAAAACTCAGCGTATGTAGCTAGCAGACAGCAAGGCATACGTGATAGCCAGCTTTCGTACGAATAAGTCGTAAAATGTCTATAGAGGGCGCTATTCGAGTGACAATTCCTGCGTACATTGGATCATTGAATTGTTCCGCTTGATAGAGCGATCCGAACAAGTTCTCTCATCCTGCTAGCTATAGGCGGAATCTCATTACTCGAACATTAAAAAACAAGGAGGGGCGGGAGCGGGGGGGGGGGGGGCTACATCCTCTGAGCGCCCAAAACACATGAAGCCTCAGCTTTGTTGATTTGGTTTGTAACAATGAATCAATTTGAAATTCGGCTAAATGCAGCCGCATAAGATCAACAGCTCATGACTGAATCTAGAAGGAAAATGTCGATCTCTCGAGCCTTCTGAAAAGCTATCTAAGGGCTCAAGAGACCAAATGATTAAAGATAAACTCCAGTTCTGGTAATGCGATTGCATTGTGAAAGAAAAGGTGTGGAATGGATCAGAAACAGCTGATTATGTAGCATGTAAGTATTGGTGTGCACTACAAGGTTCATCAAAATCATAATAAATTTGGCCGAGTCTTGGCAAAGTAGCACTGTACACATAAAGCTATAATTATATGGGACAACACACATGGTTTCGGGGCTAGTACTACCTTGATGTCCTTGTCATTCTATGCCCATTACTCAGCCAGTATACATTTTCTTCCAAAATTGTTTAGCACATGTCATTTATTTGTAATCTTGAACATTCAGTGTAAGTTTCGTTTGATTCTGTGAGAATTAATTGTCTTTTTTTTTTCTTTTTTTTTTTACCAGAACTGGAGTTTATCTTTAAGGTATAAGACAGTCCACGAGACTGTCCAATCTCCAGGGGATGGGGGTGGTGGATTTTTATTTTTGGGGGAGGGGGTAGGGGGGGTAGCAGAATACACTTCGATGCCATTGATTAATAGTTGGCGAGTGGCATATATCCAATGAGGTTTTCGATCCTTCCCAACCGAGCTTTTCTCTTTCTCCCTCCCCCTCTCTCTTTCTCCCTCCCTCCCCCTCTCTATCTCTCCATCCATCTCTCTATCTCTTTCTTTCACAAATTTATTTATTTTCTTTTCGTTGTTTTTTTTCTATTTCATTTTCAAAACGCTAAGCTGATTTCTTGCAAGATCTATCAAGGTTATCATGTGCATTTTAGCAAATAAAGCCTTATCGATATAAAACAATGAGTTATTTCCAATCAAAAAATATTAAAATGAATCAGGTCGTCGAAGATATGCAAGGGAAGTATTTGTAAGTTATTATTTTTGCAGAGATAGAGTCGTCAGTGATGTCATCGAAGCATAGGCGCCAGATTCGATCGTGGAAATTTGACAGTCAATCCAACTATGAACAAAAGGGGGGAAGTGGTAAGAAGCACTTTTTACCCAGTTTTATTTTATTTGAAAAGAAAAGGGGGAAAAATTGGATAATGTATTCAAGTATTATAATTTATTCTCATCCCTGTATTTTATTTCAGGTGTGACATGAAATTGATGTGACATGGTTATTGTTATCTAAACTTTTTTCTTTTTTCTTTTTTTGGATTGGCTTTAAAGATAAAACACAGATAAAAGGTGTCTTTAAAATTCTAAAACACACACTTTTGCGAAGAGGGTGGGTGGCAGGCGCACCGGAAGCAGCTTGGGATGGGGGGGGGCAAACATTCCAGGGGGCTCACCTTTCAGGCGCAGTGACATAATAAGCAATAACGTATGGGGGGCAGAAGAAACAGATGAGGATATTTTGACACTGGAAGGTCACTAATTGGCGGGAGGGGTCCAGGGAGCTGAGCCCCATGAAGCTCAGGGGTTTTAGGCAATTAATTACGTTTTGAGATGAGCATCCAGTGGTCCTTCTTAAGACCCTTGGTGGGGTCTAGTGCATGGGCAGAGCCCTCGGAAGCTCAGTGTTTTTAGGTATTTAATTACGGTCAGATTTGCATCCAGGAGCCCTCTTCGGGCCCTTGGTAGGGTCTGGTGAGCAGATCCCCCGGAAGCGCATATTTTTTTTACACAACTGTTTATAGTAACCCTAAATTAGCCACATATTGAGCCAATCTGTGAAAAAATTTAAAAGAAGCTAATTCCAACTGATTTGGGTAGGTATGGGTATGGACTACTACCAAAAAAAGGAAGGAGGGATGGGGGTTGGGGAGAATTTTTTATTAGAGGTCAAAGGTCAATGACCTCTGCCTAAATCACTAACAATTGTATTTCAGCAACAAAATATGGTATATAGATGATCTTGGTGTCAAAATGCACAAGAATACGAAAAAAGATGACATAGAATAACTACTGACCCTTAGAATAAAATCTTGACCTCCGGAAATGAGGTCAAAGGTCAAAAAACTATTTTATCTCTAAAATGTCATATTTATAACAGTAAAATTAGCATGTCATATAAATATGAGCACAAACAAATCAAAGAGGCTAATTTCAAATTATTTCTGGCGGATATGGGGGAATGAGGGTTATTATTTATTCCAAGAGCAGAGGGGAAGGGGTAAATTTTCTTAATGAGGGTCAAAGGTCATTGACCTTGCACTAAAACACTATACATTGTATCTCTGCAACAAAATAGGGTATATAGGTGATCTTGGTGTCAAAATGCACAGGATTGCGAAAGAAGATGACATAGAATAACAACTGACCCTTACAATAAAATCCTGACCTTCAAAAATGAGGTCAGGGTAAAAAAGATACGTTTTATCACTAAAATGTCCTAATAGTAACAGGAAAATGACTATATTATGTAAAAATGAGCACAAACAATTCGAAGAGGCTAATTTCAACGTAATGTGATGGGAATGTTATTATTAATTCCAAAAAGAGAGGAGGAGGGGAAAATTTCCTTTATGAGGGTCAAAGGTCATCAACCCTGCACTATAACACTAGAAATTATATTTCAGCAATGGCATCTTTTACATAGGCCTCGATGATCTTGGTGTCAAAATGCACAGAATTATACTGGGAGATAAACAAAATATGAAATGGATTCTTCACCACCGAAATACGAGGTAAAAGGTCAAAATGAGCAGGGGGGGGGGTGAAAGTTTATTAGTGTCAATTAGTTTGTGTATGTAAAGTATATGTGCATTTATAATCAACCATTTGCAGAATACTACTCACAACTTAGAACTTACAGTAACTATTGGCAACACAATACAAATTAATAGTACTCAGTCTGTTTCCTCTTCATCGCTACCAATAACTTCTGCATCTATGCTTTCTGTTCCATCGGATCAATGTCCACAGCACACTCCACATGCAGATACACATGACATGCCAGCTTTCATGCAGCTGCATTTCATGTTTTGACACTGCCTCTCCCGTTCTTTGCAGTTGCAACAAATTCCTTTAAGAAGGTTATCTGGCCCGATACCAACATACAGCATCTCTGGTCTGAGTTTTCTTTTGGAATCTAACTCTCATCCTTTTCTTTTGGGATCAAGAAAAGAGGTGCCAAGATGCTTCCATACCACAACTTGAAGATGGTCACGAAGGGAATGTTGAGCTGTTGCATCTTCCGTTGGTGGAAGGCGGTGAGGATCGATTTTGTCCTTGGCTGCTTGCTTTTTGAATTTCATAGGCAAGGCTTTTCTAGGGGAATATCCCAGAGCCACAATTATGCGATCTGCATTACTTTTAACCCAGCTGTTCGAATTGTGGAGTCGGTTTAAGTGTTGCTTGTGAATGCAGTAATGACACTGGCAGGAAATCTACATTTTGTAGAGAGCAAATCTGGTATGTCCATGAATACATGAAACAGTGTCGTTTCCAGACCAGCCATACATGAAAAGGAACTCTTCTTTGTCTATGCTACAGATGTCGAAAGACCATCAAAGCCTGCTTGGAAATACAAATGAGTACAGTGGATAGGCCTATGATAGCAGAGCAATATCAAAATATTGGTGTCCTGGGCAACAACAACAACTGGGGAATTCACACTTCCGACCATGTCTATTGCAGACCTAACGATCAGCGTGTCACCATCATATTTTGCTTGGCGTACAGTGATATTGTGGCTTGCCATCCCTGCAGATATCATTGTGATTAAGGCTCATTTGCCAGGAAAACCTCTTTGTCACATGATATAGTCCGGTGTGACGCTCATGTCCGAAGAAACCTTCTTCCCAACCAGGCGGCGCATATGTTCATGATCTTTCGTTGATGATTCTTTCCCGTAGCCATCAAACACTACAGTAGCATCCTTGAATTTGTTTCGAACATATACCTGACATACCGTATGTATCAACTAAAGTCTTGATGGTTGCACCGCTGGACCACTTTACCTGATAAAGTAACCACCCTCCATCAACAACATGCATCTTGCTGTTTATGTCCAAGTCAACCTGTGTAGCTGTTTCCTTGAGCGTATTGCCAAATTCATGCTTTTTTGGTTTCCTCATCTTATGCGATCCATTGTGAAGAGAAATGTTTGGACCGGGTTCAGCTCCTTTTGCAAGAAAAGATTTCGGCATCTACGAGAGACTATCATAGAAGTGTTGCTTGTCCATTTTCGTTCCAATCGCTCTAATAATGGAGAGTTGTTGACATGTTGTTGATCACTTTCTCTGCTGTATACATGACTCTCTGCAAGGTGCACCAAAATCCTCTCCTTAATAATAGTAACCCATCTTCAAGTTGTGACATGGAAGCATCTTGACACCACTATTCTTGATCCCAAGGGAAAAGGATAGGAGTTAGATTCCAACAGAAAACTCAGACCAAAGATGCTGTCTGTTGGTATCGCGCCATACAACCTTCTTAAAGAAATTGTTGCAACTGCAAAGAAGGGGAGAGACAGTGTCAAAACGTGAAATGCAGCTGCATGAAAGCTGGCATGTCATGTGTATCTGCAATTGTGGAGTGTGCTGTGGACGATGCAGAAGAAGTTATTGGTAGCGATGAAGAGGAAACAGACTGAGTACTATTAATTTGTATTGTGTTGCCAATAGTTACTGTAAGTTTTAAGTTGTGAGTAGTATTCTGCA